TGATTGTGAGCAGATTCTTTAAATTTCATGTAATTATTGTCACATCTAAAAATTTAGACAGTGTCAAGTGCGCTGAAAATGCTCAAAATTTTAGCTTTTTCCGGCTTGAAGCCACTACTGAATCAGTGAAAGAATGAATCAAACGAACGCATTACGCACTCAACGAAAACATCAGCTCTCCGTTACATTCCTCATCTTTGAGGTAACAAACACACTGACTTGCTAATCAAAATATTTTCGCTGAATATCGTTGTGTTTGTGGTTGAGAACATAACAATATGAAAATTGACTCATGAATGAATTGATCGAAGCTTGACAAGAATGACTCGACTAAAAGTACACATAAACATAATTACAATCATAATAGTAACTTTAAGAAATCGATGTGATAAACGCAATGAAAGTTACTGTTAGAAGACTGGTTTTTCGTAAATCTTCTACACTCGCTTATATTTACGCAACATTTGGAAGTCTCGAAGCATGAGAGAAATTGTTTAGCTGAGTGTGAGTCTATTGGGTAAATAAAGGTTTTAAGTCAAGTTTGCATTCAGTCACTTTATATAAACCGTTCAAGAGAGCATTTGAAACATATTGTCAATGTGCTCTTCCTCCTGAACTTTTCAGTTTATTCGATCATTTCTAGCCACTCAACTATGCTCAACCACTGCCAATATCAAGATATTGTTGGACATATTTTCATTTATTATTTTCTGATAGACGGAGTTGTGAACGCGGTATGTATACGCTAAAATTTTGAAATTTTATTTCTTTAGTTGGTTAAATTGATTGGTTTCTCGATTAATCCAACAATAATGATGAATACGTATATGCCGTTAGTCAAGATGATCTAAAATGTTTATCATAATTTATCAGAGAGAAATTTGATCATGGATTTATCGAAATTTGATCCACTGAGCTTTGTTCAAGCTTGTTAGCAAATCGCTCATTCCCAGAGAGTTTCAGGAAACTTCATTTCAATCGTAACAGTTCAGTGAATTTTTATTGGACAACCTTAAATTAGAGAAAATTTGGGACCAAATCCGGTGTGTAACGATGGATAAGAGTTTAAATTTTAGTATAGCAACAATGAAGTTGTGATAAGAGCAAAGCGACAGAACTGTGGATGGGCCGGATACTGTGGCCAAGAATGCTGCATGGATATTCAGATACATTACGATCAACCACAGCAACTACCTCCGGCACCTGATTGTTATGACTGTGGTCAAGGTAAGTGAGCACCTTATTGAATCGTGCAATTTGTTGGTCATGACGCTGTGTTTCAGCCCTGGAGATTTGCTATTGATGACTGACAAGATTGTGTCGTTGTAGAATAAAATTTCTGGTAGAACTGATAAGAGTTAACAGCTTCAGCTTTAAATGGTATGAATTTTAGAACCACAAGAACCTTGCGAGCCACCGTGCTATGAGCAGCCACCATGCGACTATGGATGCGTAGAGCCACAGCAACCTTGTGGTTCAGGATGTGTACAACCACAACAAGCGCCTTGTTATGATTCAGGATGTGAGCAGTGGTCACCATCGTGCTGCCCACAACCTTACCCATATCCAGAGCCATGTCAGTGTATATGCTCTTCATTCCTACTCTTATTCAGACATTACTGTTGCATTCGTGAATCTCGTTTTGATGGTAGTTTTACTGTGA